CACACACACACACACACACACACACACTCACACACACCTTCCCAGAATGTTCTGAGAACTTTTCCTGTTGGCTGTAATTTCATCTGTCTACCCAGGTAACACATTTAGGATATAAAATATATGTTAGGATATATGTTGTGGGAACATTGTTTTGAAAGAAGTTCAAATGTCCAGGTCTTTTGTTGTGATTAGAATGTTATGTAAAAGTTACAAAAATGTTTCTAACAACATTCCACTAACTTTATTTACACTCAAAATGTAACATTTATGTTTAAGCTAACGTTTTCTTGTAACATTGAGAACTTTCATCAAGTACAAATAACACCATGAGCACGTTCAAAGTTCTAAGAATGTTTCCTCTCAACATTACGAGAATGTACATGAAATATTACACTTTTTTTCAACTGTGTGTAAAGTTTTGAAAAAAAAAAAGAGGCAAAGTTTTGAAAATGTAAGCAGCTGAAAAAAACTGTAATAGCTATAAGAACGTTCCATGAACATTACTTTAAGAACGTTTTGACCTAACATTTATATAACATTTAAAAAGCGTTCGTGAAAGTTGTGAGAGCGTTCCCTGTCAGCCGGGTGACTCCCAAGCTTTTGCAAGAAACAAGTATCTGACAACATTAGCCTTTCGAGTGTGTGTTGGTCTCTAACAGCAGCTGTCAGTGTGTTTACCGCGTGTGCGTGTGTCTGTGTGTGTGAGTGTGTATGTGTGTCTGTGTATGTCTGTGTGTGTGTGTGTGAGAGTGTGTGTGTGTGTACTGGTATATGTTTTATGGTATATGGTTTATGAGGACACAAATGTGTATAATGACATGGGTACTACTTCCTGTGTCCCCGTAAAACAAAAGGCTTAAAAAACATACAAAACGGTGTTTTATGAAATTCAAAAGTTGCCAGTAGTTTGCTGTAAGGGGTAGGTTTAGGTGTAGGGTTGGTGTAGGGCAATAGCACATACAGTTTGTAGAGTATGAAAACCATTACGCCTATGGAGAGTCCCCGTAAACCACAAATGCAAGTATGTGTGTGTGCGCAGGTATCGTGCGGTCGTGTCGTGGAGTCGTGTTCAGGGTGTGGGGATCCCTGTGTCCACGGCTGTGGAGATCCTGTGTATCTGGCTGCTGGCTATAGTTCTGGCCGTTCCTGAGGCCATCGGCTTCAAAATGGTCAGCTTCGACTACAACAGCGTCACCATCCGCACCTGCATGCTGAAACCAGAGACGCCCTTCATGACGGTAACAACACGCCACAGCTACGGACATTAATTATGTTCCTTCATAACTGTTATGCAACACGCTCAGACCGCACTTGATTCACTACTCTTCCATAAAGCTTCATTATCAGTCAGTTCTGCAGTGTGTGACCAGGACACTAATCTGCATGTAAAGAACATTTCCACCAGTACTTAGTCTACTACTTTTATTCTAGTTTTAATATAAGGACAAGCATTTCAAGTTATGTCTGTGTTTTCACATTTTCAGGCAATTTATAAACAGAAAGTAGTTCAAAGGCTCTATTTGAATTTTTTAGAGATTTTAAGAGACAAGATCTATCAAATATATTAGATGTAAAAAATTATTATATTAGATAATAGATCATTCATAATTAGATAATTCAGATTATATACAGTATATGATATAGAATTACATAACATTATATAAAATATTTCAGATGTGTGTGTGTATATATATATAATTTTACGTTATATATGATTCTATATTTTGACTGAAGATATATATTTATTTAGTATTTTATATATATATGTATAAAATAACATCAATATAAAATATTTAATTATATTTGTTATGTAAGTATATTTTTTAATTAACTTATATTTATATAATAAGTATATTTATATAATCATCACATATATTATTATTATATGAATATATTTATTTTATAAACATAATATAATAAATAAGAATATAGAAATAAGATTCTTTCATAAGATTTTATATTGGTGTTCTATAATTTTCAGTATCACTGAGACACTAATATAGTTTTTATTACAATTTTAAATTAATGTTTTCATTTTATTTTCAGTTAAAGTTTTAGTAATTATTGTGTTTTTGTCATTATTATTAGTTTTTAATTTAAATACGTATATATAGTTTTTATTTCTCAACTTAACTTTATTCATACAGCACTTTCAAAGCCATACAAATGAACCAAGGTGCTGTTTTGTTCCCCTGATATAAAAATAAAGAAAGAAATCCAAACACTTATTTTATTTCAGTTAGTTGCCAAGGCAACATTTCTTATTTTCATTTAGTTTAACTTGATGTACTGAAATAAGTAAAACTAATAAAAATTAAAAAATATATTTTTTATTTTGTTTAATTTTTTCATGAATAAAAATCTAACTTTTTAATAAAACTTCACTTTTAAAGTTGGACTAACACAATCTCATAAATGCATGACAAAATGTTAAAATAACTTTAAAAATGTTTACTAACATACAAATAAATCAATTTTTATTAATGAAAAATTAATACAATTTAAACTTAGTAATGAAACTTAAAATTTAAAGTTGGACTATAATAATACTATAAGAGCATGAATGTTAAAAAACATTTAATATATACTTACAAACATACAAGTAAAACAAATGTATTAATAAAAAATATTAATAAAAATTTAACTTATTAATAAAACAACTTTTACATTTGGACTAAAACAATACCATAAGAGCATGAACATAATGTTAAAATAACATTAATTAAAAAGTACAATTAATTAAATTTAATTGTAAAATCATTTTTAATTAAGTTTTATTTTAGTAATAAAAATAAAATTAAACATTTTCATTTTAATAAAATAAGTAACATTTCAATATTTCAAGTAACATTTATTTCACGATTTTATTTTTAAATTAATTATAATAACACTGACACACACAAAGCCATAGCATATTTTATAGTAATGCATCAATGAAATTAGAAGAAACATATTCCTGTAGCTGATTCTGCAGAAATGCAATTATTTGATGTGTATTGTAATTTTGCAACGTTTATCTTTATGGATTTTCACCTGTTTGTGGTGTTGTTTTTGTGTCTCAGTTTCTTGCTGGTGTTTGATTACCTGAGTATAAATCTGGCCACCATCAACTCCTGCATCAATCCCATAATCCTCTACTTCGTCAGCAAGAAGTTCAAGAACTGCTTCAGGGTACAGAGAGCTGTAATGAGTGTGATAACAGAGCGCAGTGATGCTGTGAGGATCTAATCTCTGCTGTCTCTCTGTCTCTGTCAGTCGTGTTTGTGTTGCTGGTGTTATCCGGCCGGCTCGCTCTTGAGCAGCGTTGTGCCCCTGAACGGAACCAGCTTCCAGTACAAGAGCCCTGATCAGAACGGCTTATCGGACCGGACCGCGCTGCGCAAGGACAGCTACAACTGACCTCAACCACACACACGCTGTTTTAACCCTGACTACAGAGATATCGACAAATATATTTATATTATTATATCTACTGCACTGGTTAACTATGTGCATACTATTATGACAAAGAAAGTGCATCTTTTTTGGTGTATGCATCATATTTTGTAAACATAAACATGCGTTTTCAATGCGCTGTAAGTGATTTCAGATGTTTCACAAACTACCCAGCTGACAGAGATCGTTCTGGAAAGGTTCTCTCAAAGTTATAAACAAACGTTCTTCTAGTAACGTTTATAGAATGTTCATTGAAAGTTATCTGGTCTTTAATAACGTTCTCAAAACGTTCTCGCAAAAACGTTATTTATACGTCATTCATGGAACGTGTTTTCTGAAATGTTTTAGTTGGACATTCATCTAATGTTTTTTAAAACTGTTAAAAGTTTTTTTTCTGAAACGTCTTAGTTGAGCATTCAACGTTTTTTGAAATGTTAGATAAACTAATGACATTCTCAAAACGTTAGCACAAAAATGTTATTTTTACAATATTCATGGAACTTTTTTTCTGAAACGTTTTAGTTGGATGTTTGTCTAACTATTTTTTAGATGTTACAGCTAGCTTGTTTCAGAGAACATTCAAAAGTAACATTCACATGTTTGCAAAATTATAAAATGGAATGTTAGTGAAAATTCTTTATAACTTAATTGGAAACGTTAGTAAAACGTTCTTAGAATGTAGTTTTGTTAGCTGGGTAGCCACAGAATTAAGGCTCATTCACAGCAAAGAAGATAACTATAATTATAAAGTTTTGATAATAATTTTAATTCTATGAGAATAGTGAAGTCCACAACTACATTTATAATGATAATGACAAAGAGGAACATTATCGTTCTCTTTGAATGATTTTTTAAAGCTGATGAATGATAAAAACATTGACAGTTTATCAAAATCCAGAGTCGAAAGATTTCGCACATTTAATGCGTGCACGGGCTTAAAATAAACAGAATGTTATTGTTTGTTGATGTGGACGCTAAAATCGTTATCGCTTTAGTTATCGTTCTTGATGTGAACGTGCCTTCTGGCATCGAACGCCACGCCCCCTCTCTGAATGCCCGCCCCTCGAAGCCGTCTCAGCCAACCAGATGCCAGCAAACCTGAAAACGCAAAACGACTGACAGCCAGAGAGCGTTTGTGATTGGTCAGTTTTCAGATATATCAGATCTGCAGAAGACATATGATGGCCACTACAGGATGAGAATTCATTTGGTTTAACTCAACATAAACCACACGACATATTAAACCAATGCCATTACATACGAATTTTGGTTTTGAATAAATGGTTTTGAGCGCCTATCAATCTGCCGAAGTCACATGACTTTTAGTAAACGAGCCTGAAAGTGAATCTACGAACATATAAGTGACCCTGGAGCACAAAAGCAGTGTTAAGTAGCACAGGTATATATTTGTAGAAATAGCCAACAATACATTGTATGGGTCAAAATTATACATTTTTTTTTCATGCCAAAAATCATTAGGATATTAAGTAAAAATCATGTTCCATGAAGATATTTTGTAAATTTCCTACCGTAAATATATCAAAACTTAATTTTTGATTAGTAATATGCATTGCTAAGAACTTCATTTGGACAACTTTAAAGATGATTTTCTCAATATTTAGATTTTTTTGCACCCTCAGATTCCAGATTTTCAAATAGTTGTATCTCAGCCAAATATTGTCCGATCCTAACAAACCATACATCAATGGAAAGATTATTATGACTGGTTTTGTGCTCCAGGGTCACATATGGTTTTAACCTGATCCCAAATCAGTTTTATAACGGAGACATTGTTAACGACACATATTTGCCTCCATAAAACATGCCTAAAAAGTAACAAAATTATACAGAAACTTTGTATGTGATGGTATTTGATGATTACTATATACCAGGGGTGGCGAACGTCGGTCCTGGAGAGCCGCAGTCCTGCAGAGCTCCAACCCTAATCAAACACACCTGAACAAGCTAATCAAGGTCTGAAGGGTTACTAGGAAGCTACAGGCAGGTGAGTTTTAATTAGGGTTGGAGCTGAACTCTGCAGGGCTGCGGCTCTCCAGGACCGGAGTTCGCCACCCCTGGTATATACTATTGAATAGATTACACTTTCAGTTGGTTTGTAAACTGCGTTTTTATGCATGTTTGGAGTGAGTTTTCATCGCATTTATACTGTTTTCACTGCAAGCTGCGCTTCGGAACAGCTTAATCATTTTGCGAAGCGGTTTCGAAAGGCTCAGTTCCTCATATCACTACTGTAAACAAAATATGTCAGATTTACAGCCATTTACATTGGGAACAATGGCGATGAAGCGGTTTACTCACATCGCTTATCCTCAATGAACTTGTTTGCAGCAGAAAGGTTTACATCAACATGATTAGCCCCTTTGTTAATCGGGGTCAGTCTTCACGCCACTTTCTTTCATTGTTTACGTTCAATTGCGTTAAAGGGGTCATATGATGCGATTTCAATTGTTC